TGAAACGTGTCCCTGGAATGTCCCTGGCTCACTGTCCCTATGAGCACACCCTGACTGGAATTACCAAGAATTACTCAAGGAGCAGATAAGTTAAATATTTCATTTAAATGCTGTTGGATGTCAGGTTATTTTTGTTTGTTATATTTTATTATCTTCTCCATCCTCAACCCCTCCAAAGCAACCTAAATCATCCTGCTGCCAAATCCAAAATAAAGACTTCTTTGTACACCACTGCACTAAAAATGAATTTAGGCCCCAAAATCTCACTCAATTTCATACATTCATAAAGAGCAAACATTGAAAAATTTCCCCAGATTTGTTCAATGCCAGAAAACATTTGGTGTAATTCTGTTCTTTGAACTCTGAGATTATTTCATGTTCTTCCTTTACCTTGGTAATTATTCTCCCTTTACCTTTACTATTAATATTAATGTCACACACTGACAGGATGGGAGTGACAAGCAGCAGCTCTTCCCCAAATGATTTTGAATCTTCTCAGTTTAACTGCTTTATATTGGGTTGGGAGCCAATTTCACCTTAAGTGAGAGGTAGGGATGTCTGGAATATCCAGGGAACATTGCCATCTTAGGAGTGAAACGATCTGCAGCATCCTTACCCCTGACTTCCCTCGGGATTTTCTCAGCACCAGTGCTGAGAAATTAAAATGCAACATTTAGCATGATTTGTAGCTTTAAAATTCAATTATCACCCTGCCTAGCTAGTACCTGGCAGAGCACGATGAGCTCAGGAGTCTCCTTCACAGCCACAAGAACTTCCCACATATTAATGAACTTTATTTCAGCGTGCAGTCACCGACAGGGGCACAGAAACTCTGATGAAGGCAAGCTTCAGATTTCACACAGGCACATTCCTCACCCAGCTCGGAGCATCTTCTCAGTGCCTTTTTCACCCACAGCCCCACATTTCCCACTCAGCTCAGTCTCACAGAGCTCAAGCAGCAAAGCCTGCACAGAAACACAAACAGCTCAAAACTCAACAATCCTCTCGGCATTCCCTGCTCCTCAGGCAGAGAACAGTTCTGTAAAATCCTTTTCTAAATCTCTTTTTCTCAGTCATGTCTCAGAGGTGACATCCTCTGCTGACACTGACCCCACAGCTCTGAGTGTGGCTGTGCATCATGAAGGAATTGAGCTGCTTACCAAGTCCCTTCAGGAACTTTTTACTTCTTGTTGTAGCATTAAATCTTCTCATCAGGCACTGACAAACTTTCAGCGTACTCAAACTTTACATATTACTGATCTAAACCACCCTTGTTTAATCTTTGCCTACCAAGAACAATACATTAAAAATCCCACCCAGAGTCCCTGCTTTACGTGCACAAAGCATCTCTAACAGCAGCAGCTCACAGCTCTAACTATGCACAGAATAACCTCAGCCTGTACGAGCAGTTTTACTGAACAAGCAGGGTTACTCAGCACACTAAAAGCTGCTTATACATGTAAATATTGTATGGTGAACTGCTTAGTAACCAAATTTATGCTTTTCAGATGATTTTTATTTTGGCATTTTTAAGATAGCATCAAATCATCTTGAAATTGTTTTTAAAATATGCTTGATCATTTTGAAAATCAAATTAATACAGCCAACTCTGATGATTATATTTTGCCTAGACCCTGCTGCATTGTCATGCCTTCATGTTGCTCAACCAGAGCTTGTTTCAGGAAAACATTAATTTTTTTCCTGAGAATCTAAACCACTGCCATTCATGAAGCACAACCACCCAATGCAATGCACTCTTCATAATTCTAATATCATGTGCTGCATCCTCTCATGATTTATTTGACTTCTGTGTCTAAACCCTCAGCCAGGGATTTTCAGACTTTCCAACCACACATCCCCCAGTGGTCTGTAGCCATGCACCAGAAATCATTTCTAAGAAAACCAGACTTGATTCTTTCAGTTACTTCCCACTTCTTTGCACTGCAGACTAACTAATTACCTAGAGCTGGCTGCTAATGAGAGATTAAATTAATACATGTAGTAGGACACTAGCAAAATCATATTCCATATTTAAACTCAACAGCATAAAGATTATTTGTTACTTTGGATGCAATATATTTCCTTCTTCAGAAACAGCAGCAATTAATAGCATAGTGTAGAAATAAAAAATGGAGGGTAATTTTATCCTGTCACTGGAAAAAAACAACACACACCACAATCCAGCAGCTGAGTTGAGATTAAATAGATAGGATGTAAACCAACGCTAAAGTCTGGTCTTTATAAAATTGGCTATGCTGGGACAAAGTGTAATGTGAATAATTCAGATGCGAGTTTGAGAAGTGGTGAAGGTGAGCAAGCCCAAATCATACCCAAAACTTGAGCACAGAAAAAGAAAATAAAATATTTCTGCAGTGACACTGTGGCCTTTCAGCAATTCTTACGGCTGGTTTTGAAGGGAACTCTGCCAGCCCTTGCTAGCAGGTGACTGATTGTGGCTGGCTCACACCGAGCTGGGTGTAGCTCTGCTCCCAGAATATTTCTAGGAAGGGGAATCAGATGGGCAGTGAAGGAACAACAAGTGGAGAAATGGCTTCAAAGCTTCCAAGGGAGTTCAGTTGTTCAATTCCCAAAGGGTGGGCAAGCAGCCATGGGGAGACAACTCCCAGAACGGGAGGGTGGGAGAGCCCCCAGAACGGGAGGGTGGGAGAGCCCCCAGAACGGGAGGGTGGGAGTGCCCCCAGAACGGGAGGGTGGGAGAGCCCCCAGGTCTCTCCGAGTGCCAGGACGTGCCCAACTGCTCTGGGAAACCATGGCACAGCAATCTGTCACAAGGTGAGTGTTACCTGGGGACCAAAGCCCAGCCCTGGGGCTGGGAGGGAGATAAAATCCCTGCTGCACCCCCAGGCTGACCCACACTGCCCCAGCTCAGGAGCAGCCCGCAGGTTTTGTAGGGGAGTGAGAGGAATGTGCAGCTGGTGGAAATCAGGGGGGGCCTGACAGACCAGCAGGCTCCTGGGGACACTGAGCTGCAGGTACAGGACACGGCTGCAGGCATGGACACAGCACCTACAGACACACACCAGGTGTACGGGTCACACACGGGACAGATTTAACAGAGCCCTTCCAACCACTGCCCATTCCCCAGCAGGGCTGCTGGAACACAACCTTTGGTTTTATTTGCTTTTATTCGCAGACTTACACACCAGCAGCAGAGGGGCTCTGTGAGCTCCAGGGCATCACCAGGGGAACAGCACTCACCAGAGGATCTGTGACCACAGGGATGGATCCCCACAGCATTTGAATGCTGCAGAAATATTTTCAGTAGAATTTAGCCTCTGTGAAAATTGTTCAGGAATAAGAGAGTGTTATTTGCAAAACTTATGTCAAATCCTTTTGACTTTGCCTGCCCCAAGAGCTGTGTTTAGATTAGGCTTGGAAATAAGGTGTGGTAGAAAGGATCTAAATGTCACCATTACGTGAACAAATACTGAGAATTGTAAAGAACTGAGTAAGATACAACAACGAAGACTGGAGGGTGCCAAAACAACTAATGATACTTTCTTGAAAGGAATGTCTAATAGAAAGTCCAAGGGACGATTTCTACAAACAGTGGCACGTAGCCAGACCCTGTGACTCAGCCCTGCTGGTCACGGGCCACCAAGTGCCAACAGCATCAACATCTGGCGACAGCCACATCTCCCTCCTGAGCCACCATGGGCACGGGGCTAGCCGGGAGCGGGGCTGGGCTGGCTCCCGAGCTCCCGGGCTGTGTTCCCGGGCTGGCTCCCGAGCTCGCCTGGGGCACGGGGCACCCCGACCCTGGCTCGCCGGTGTCCCCGGGCACGGCCCTGCCCCGGCTGCAGGCAGCGATAGGGCGGGAGCTGCGGCACACCGGGCCGGGCAGCGCCGATAACGGGCGGGGCAGGGGCACCGGGGTGCGGCCGCCGGTCCCACCGCCCGGGCCCCGTGTCCGCGCTGGCTGCGGGAACTCCGCGGCGGGAGGGGACACGCGGTGATCCCGATCCCGGTCCCGATCCCAACGGGCCCGGGGCGGAAGGGCACGCACGGTGACCCCGGTCCCGATCCTGATCCCGATGGACCTGGAAGGCACGCGCGGGCATCCCGGTCCCTGTCCCGGTCCCGATGGACCTGGGGCTGGAGGGCACGCGCGGTGATCCTGTTCCCGACCCCGACCCCGATCCCGACCCTGTTCCCGATCCCGATCCCGGTCCCGGTCCCGTTCCCGGTCCCGGTCCCGGTCCCGGTCCCGATGGGCCCGGGCGGAAGGGCACGCGCGGCGATCCCGAGCGCGGCCCCGCGGAGGGCGGGGGTCACACACGCGGGGCGGGGCGCGGGCGGCTGCCGCTCGCCGCCGGCAGCCAATGGGAGCGGGCGGCGCCGCTCAATAGCCAATGGGAGGGGGCGGGACGCGCGCAGCAGCCAATGGGAGGGGGCGGGCCGCGCGCAGCAGCCAATGGGCGGGGGCGGGCCGCCATGGGCCGCGGCAGCGCTGTCCCGCCGCCGCGCCGGCACGGGGGCCGGTAACGGCAGCGCCGCCGCCCTCCCTTCCTCTCTCCCTTCCTCTCTCCCTCCCTCCTTCTCTTCCTCATCCCCTTCCTCCTCCTCCTCCTCCTCGGCGCTGCCCGGCGCCGGGGCTGTCCCGGCGCGGCTCCGCAAGGCGCGGCCGCCGCTTCCCCGCCCCGGCGCGGGGCCGTCCCTCGTCCCCTCCCTCCCTCCGCCCCGTCCCCGCCCGCCGCGGCAGCCCCGAGCGGGAGGCGGCGGAGGGAGGCGGGAGCCATGCGGGAGTACAAGGTGGTGGTGCTGGGCTCGGGCGGCGTGGGCAAGTCCGCCCTTACGGTGCAGTTCGTGACCGGCTCCTTCATCGAGAAGTATGACCCCACCATCGAGGACTTCTACCGCAAGGAGATCGAGGTGGACTCGTCCCCGTCCGTGCTGGAGATCCTGGACACGGCGGGCACCGAGCAGTTCGCCTCCATGCGGGACCTCTACATCAAGAACGGGCAGGGCTTCATCCTGGTGTACAGCCTGGTGAACCAGCAGAGCTTCCAGGACATCAAGCCCATGCGGGACCAGATCATCCGCGTCAAGAGGTACGAGCGGGTGCCCATGATCCTGGTGGGCAACAAGGTGGACCTGGAAGGCGAGCGCGAGGTCTCCTTCGGGGAGGGCAAAGCGCTGGCCGAGGAGTGGAGCTGCCCCTTCATGGAGACCTCGGCCAAAAACAAAGCCTCGGTGGACGAGCTGTTCGCCGAGATCGTCAGGCAGATGAACTACGCGGCGCAGCCCAACGGGGACGAGCCGTGCTGCGCCTCCTGCGCCATCCTCTGAGGGCGGCGGCGGCCCCGCGCCCCGCCGGCCCCGCTCGGGGAGAAAACATCGGGGGAAAAAAAAAAAAAAATTCATCGTCTTGGAAATGTGGCTTTTCTCGGCATGTACGTTTCGTCCAGTCTTGGTCATGGCATATTTCCTGTCAGTGTCGGCGGCGGGCGCGGGAGCAGCCGGTCCCGCCGACCCGGAGAGCGGAGCCACGCGGGGAGCCCGTACCCGGGACAGCCCCGGGACAGCGGCGGGGAGCGGGGCCCGCATCCCGGGACAGCTCCGGGGAAGAGCGGGACCCGCACCCGGGACAGCCCCGGGATGCGGTGCTCACTCCCCCGGTGTGCGGGATGTTCACTCCCCCGGTGTGCGGGATGTTCACTCCCCCGGTGTGCGGGATGTTCACTCCCCCGGTGTGCGGGGCCCCGTCCCGGACTCTCCCCGCGGTCTCTATGCAAGCGGGGCGGTGCGGGGCCGTCCCGCCCGGAGAGTTGCACATGGAACTGGGACTGTGACCCGATGGGTGCTGCCAGGCACGGGGCGCCGGGCAGCGCCGCCGATATCCCTGGAATAATGCTCTATTTTGTTTACCTGCTGTATCGGATGGGAGTTTGCAGGAGAGTGGTAGCGTGGTGGTTTTTCTCCTGGTTTTGTTTGTTTGTTTGTTTGTTTTTTTGAATCAGCTGTGAAAATGTTACAAATCTGCACAATTTTTTAGGCGTGCGTGTGTGTGTGATTTCGTTGTGGTTTTGGTTTTTCCTTTGGCGGGGAGGGGGGCGGTGGTGCTTTTTTGTGCCAGGGGTTTTGGGTTTGGGTTGGCAATACCTGATTTTGATGACTAGCTCTCTCAAGTGCAAAGACTTCCCATGAGTGATGCAGGGCCAACAGCAGCCCTGTGTCTGTAGAGTGCCTTCAAAACTCAGCTGTTCCAGCCGGTGCCAACCTGTGAAAGCTCCACAGAATCCCATTATCTACTACTCCAAAAACTACTTAACAGTTTCCTTGCGGTAATCACACCGAGCAAGCCAGGACAAAAGGGCCTATTGTTAGTGGAATTTATTTCTTATTTCCATCTGAGCCTTTTAACTGTTATTTCCATGTCTTGCAAGTTCGGGCTTCATTTACTTCAAATTTACAAGAATTTAGCCTTTTGGGATTTTGGGGGGAAGGGCTTTTTTTGTTGTTGTTGTTTGTTCTATTTCCCTTTGATTTTTGTCATGGGATGTGCCTCCAGCCAGCAAAGAAGGAAATCTTACCGTTGTGATGTACCAAGAGAATTCTAACAACTGTCATTTTAATTGCGGACATGCATTGAAGAGATGTCTATCCGTTTTGAGAATTTTAATACAAACGCTGTTTTTTAGAAAACAACTTTGTGCATTGTTATGTATCACATGAAACACTGACTTTCACACAGGCTCTTAATCCAGATTTATATCTCAATAGCAGTGAAAGGTGGAGGGGTCGATTTAGCCATGAACAGTGGTTAAAGAAAGGCAAACCACAAGGTTGCTGTTTTACCTAATATTTAGTCGTTTTTGATGCAGGGTTTTGCTTGTATTCAGGTCCTGGCCCAGTGTGATGCCAGGCTGTGGGAAGAAGGCTGAGCTCAGAGGCAGCTTTAGCTCCTGTAAGTTTAGGCCCTTTTCCCCTCCTGGAAGCAGCATGGTTTACTGGGGTGAAGTTCTAAAGGTCAATTTTTTACGAAATTTAAGTTTTTTGTCTCATGGCATTATCACTTTAAAATTACAAAGCAGACCTTTTTGTTTCCTGGTTTGCAGAGGGGCTGGGGTGGGAGGAGAGCTGTGCCTCCCATCAGCTGGAAAATCCAAGGACTTTGTTTACCTCTGCCCCTTCTTTCAAGGTGTCTGCCCACAAAACCTGCAAATACCTTTTTCCTTCTCCCCCCTATCCCAAGGAGTCTTGAAATTATCTTACATCTCAAAAACAAAGGCTGAGCAATGATGTGTAAAGGGGTTTTTAATCAGGCCGGCTGAAAAATATCTGCCACGATCCCTCTGTGAATCTGGTAATTTCTCCTATTTTAAGCAGGAAAACTTTGTGCCTCAGCACTGGAAGAGCAGTGTGTAGTGTCAGTTTGATGCTACGTTTTGAAATCCCACTGACTGAAATGAAAATTGCCATTTGTGCTTTAGTCAGAATTGGATTCTTTGTGTAGTAATGTCAAGTATCTAGTGAAAATTTGTAAAAGATTGTACAGTGAAAGTGTCCTGGGCTCAGGTGTGTCCTTCCAGCAGGGACCTGTGGGGCTGTGTCATCTCAGTGGTACAACCACAGTGAAAAGCAGAGAGGGCTGCAGGAGGCAACCCCAGTGCTGGTCCCTCGCTGCTGCCTGGGCTCTCCCTGTCATACACACATTAATTTACCCCCAAAATTGAAAACATCGCTGCAGCTCATCCTCCAGAAATTCCTAAAAATTCATTAGAAGCCAGGGGTCTCCCATGCTAGGAAGACAGGGGAATAACACTGACAAATAGGGTTTCTTTTAACCCAAGTACTGCATTGAAAGCTAAGGAAGCTTGACTGCTGCTACATCTGCAGCTTACAAACTGCACGTCTGATATAAAAAAAAAATAAAATTACATCTCAGTTACTGCCATGGTTCAATTTTGCCTTAAATTCAGTGGGAATGTACAGTTTTTAGCACCCACCAGGCCTTGCTCTAGATCAGTGCACTGACAGCTTGATGTGGTTGATAAAAGCAGGTATTTATTTATTTATTGTGCCCTCCCAGGTCCTCACATTCCCCAGTGCCTCTCTCCCCACTGCCTGGGCTGTGCTTGAGGAATAAAGCAAAAGTGGGTGTTGGTAGCACACAGCATCCAGCTGTGCTCATCCAGCTGTGCTCATCCAGCTGAGCTCTGTGTTGTGCTGGGCCTTTCTGTGGTACATTCCAGTTTTGGCCCAAAAAGGTGTATTTGTTAAACAGTGAAGCATTTAAGCAGCCGTGGCACTGTCTGATCAGGGCTTTGAATGTATTTAGGCATTCCATGTTCTCTGTGACTGGTGAGGACAGTACAAGTGTAGAGCTCAGTAGTCTGATCTTCCAAATATTCTGAAGTGTTCTGGTGCTTGTTAAACATAGGCCTTGTCTATAAAAAGTCTGAAAAAAATCATCCTGCTTTAACTTGACTGAGTGATGAAAGCTATATTAGCTTGGACACTTGAGGGAAATGTTGTATCAATATAAAGGTACTCTTTATTCCTTTTCCCTGTGGGAATATGTTACACCCGTGTCAATACAGAGGTGGTATATCACTCTTTTCACAGTGAGAATTGCAAATATTTACTTGTTTTGGAAGAAAAAATACATTCCCAGCCAAAATTCTTCCTGACATTGCAGAAATTGTGTAAACAAGGCCTTGGTTTAAGGCTGGTCTTGTGACCACGTATTTTACTGTACATAATGATTGTATTTTTAAAAATCTGAGCTTGTTCTATTGCAAGAAAGTGTGTCTGGCATCCTGGTGTCCGTGACTGTAACCATGCTGTGTGCTCAGCCCCAGGCCCAAAGCAAGTGTGCTTCTGCTCAACATGATGCTCAGGATTTGTTGATCTGATGGTGCTGGAGCTGATGTGGAACTCTGTGGGATCCTGGTGGTTCTGCTTCTCTCGAAAGAATGTACGGCAAGTTGTTTGCAAAGGGCATTTTAAATAAAGGGCAGCTGGCTCTTTATGACTTCCTCACTTGGGTACTCATTGTGTGCAGGTGTTCTTCGGGCTCAGATTTCCTCAAGGAGTGACAAAATGCAGAAACTTGGGTGTTCTTTCAGAATTTTGTGCAGAAAGGAGTGGCACACGTGCATGGAGTGTGTGGGTGACTCCCAGGAGGAGAATGGGAACAGCTGGAGCTGTGCTGCCATCGGAGCTCTGTCCCTGTCCAGGTTTGTATTTTGTCCAGGAGCCACTTCTGAGAGAGCCCTCACTGCACCCTTGGGCACAACTGGTCACGTCTGACCCCTGCTCTAGAAACAAACGTGTGTGAGCTCAGCTCAGGGGGGAAATGGTTTTAAATATTGATATTCCCAGCTCACAGCCTGCTCCTACAGCCTCGTGCAAAATGTGTGTGTCAGACTCTCCTTCCTGTCACATTGCTGCAGCAGTGTTGGAGGAGCTCCTTCCTGCAGGAATCCAGCAGCTGCCCAAGCTGCAGAACTTCGTGTTTGGGGCTGACAGTCTGGGAACTGTGTGTGCAGCAGATGAGAAGGATTTGAGTGCAAACTTTAGTGCAAAAAGCAAAAGATATTCAAGTGAGTTGTAGTGATGAGAAATGGAGTGCAAGTGTGTTGCTGGGGCTGCGTGTGTTGGGGTTTTGGGGTTTTTTGTTGATTTTGCCTTTTAATTTGTTAAATTAATTAGAGTTTGTTAGTCTGTAAAAAAAAAAAAAAATCTTGCTGTGTTTCCCAAGCGTGTGTGTGTGTGTGATCTGATTTCACTGGGATTGGAATCAGAAATCCTCCCTTTCCACAGATGATCTCACCTCAGTGATCTCAGTTCTGGAGCATTCCTCATGGGACACTCATTATGAGACTGTCTTTGTGGTGCTGAAGGAGCCCCAACAAAACCTGGTCCATGATGATGAGCAGAGATGTTCCTGCAGAAAGCTCCAGAACAGCCATCACATTTTCTCTGTGGCTGCTTTAAATTTCTGGAGGGTAGAGCTGCTCCAGCCAACACTGGGGCTGCTTTGCTGCTGTCCATGCCAGAGGTGCACATTGTGATAAAGCAAGAACTCAAATCCTTCATCTGCACTATCCAACAAGTCCCAGATCCTGCCTAAACCACGGTAAAATTAGAAGTCAGTTAACCAGAACTTACAAGTCATTCAATAAGTCTTAAAATGTTGAAAGCAGCTGTTCTGTATTGACTCCATTCTTAGTTTTGGCAGTCTTGGGTCGTTTGGAGGTTTGGGTGAAGAGCAGACTGATCAAGAAGCCATAGCTTTGTTTTGTAGTCCTTGACAGGGAGAGATTTTTAGGAAAATTGTGCTTGACATGTAACTCCAGCTTCAGTGATTTAAACCCCATTTATTTCTGCAAAGTTCTGTAAGGGATCATTATAAAAAGTGCTCAGTTAATAGATTTAGTGTCCAGGTACAGACACATCCCAGATGTTTCTCCTCTGTTTGACAGACCCATAATGATTGTGCAAGAAATGCTGCAGCAGTGAGACCAACCGGAATAATCAAAAAATTGTTGCAGTTTTTGCCTCTTGATACAATCATGTTAATTTGTTACACTAGGGTGAGAGGGGATGGTTTAGGTTGCTTTTGAGGATGGTTGTAAATTGACTTCTGGGTGAAAACTAATCTGAAATGAAAGTTGTTCTTTCCTCTGAGTCAGGTATTGAAAAAGGTGCAGGTTAGTATTTATAGCAGCTGTCCCTTGCCAGTTTCTCATTGTGGGTACGTTCATCTAATTCTTAGTTTCTGTAGTGTTCCTACAGTCATCCCAATTCCAGCAATCCAGGGGACATGAATTGTATCCACTCTTGTCCAGAGAGGCAGCTTGAAAGAGAAATCTCTGCAGATATTCCGGAAACACTTTCTGTAGAAGCATAAAATAGGTGCATTTTGGAGATCAAAGCTGCACGTTTCTGTGGTCCTTAAATCCACCAAATGTGCCTTGTGTCCCCCTTCCTCTGCTGGGTGGTGTTTCCTGCCCCGGCTGGGTGAGCTGGGGCTGCAGGACAAGGCAGGACTGATGAAATCCTGCCTGGGCAGGGTGGGAGCTGCCCTGGCTGGGTTTTGGGGTGGTTGTGTGGCAGGGAGCTGAGGAGATGAGCTCCATTCTTCTGTTTTGGGTGTAAAACATCCTTTTGTGTGTGTGTGTGGTATGGATTTACTGGGCTGTTCCCTCCTTACACTGCTAAGCAGATTCAAAAGTGCTGAAAACATTTGTCCAACGTGTGTTCTCCACCAGGGATGAGTTTGATGTTTTAGGCTGAGCTTCCCTACACCACTAATCACCAAAATCTCTTTTAAGCTGTGTGGAACTTCATAGTGCTGATTGCTGCAATGTGGCTCAGGGGACTTGGGAGCTGTGTGTGCTGAAGGATGAGATCAGTGACAGTTTTATCCCCTGAGTGAACTGCAGCACTACCACGTACCCCCATTTCAGATGGGGACTTTGCTGCCAAGTTTTTACTGATGGTTCCCAAAGTTAAGATGAAAGCATGCTAGCAAAGTGCTTGACTAACTGAGTTTCTAATGTTTGCAATCTTGATTTCCCTTCTTTTTGGGACACTGCTGCATCCCAGAGCAGCTGGCTGTTTTCTACTGGGTTTCTTGTTTCAAATGTTATGTTTGCTTTAGTGTGGGTTTTTCTTTCCCTTTGCTTGTTGGATCTTTTGATTTCTCCTTTAATTAAAGGAAAAAATAGAGGGGAGATTCACATCTGAGTTGCTGTATAGCACGAGCTGCACAGATTCCAGAAATATGTGCCATGTCTCCACATATTTTTGCAATAAAGTTTAAGGAGAGCACTGTATGTTTAAGGTATTTCTAAGGCCTGGACTCTCAGCAGAGAAACAGCTTGGAAAAGATTATTTCCAAAAGAACTGGGTCAGCCTGGAGTGAATTAGAGTTCAGAGATACTGAGGCATTTTTTCCCTTACAGTATTACTGTACTTCAGCTTCTGCAGTGACAGTTACAGATTGCTGAGTATAAATATTTATGCATATGTACAAAGTTGTATCTGGTATCCACAATTCGGGAAACATCCACATTTTTCTACTTCTAGCACAGAAAATTAGGAACTGTGTGCCTGCCCACAGTGCAGAGTATCAACTGTGCTGAGTATCAGTAGCATAGAAATTGAGGTGTGTGTTTATAATTTAGCCAACTATAAGCACCTAAAAAGAGTTTTCTGGATTCTCTTCAAGCACTTTTGACCTGGCACAGATGAGTTCAGCATTGCTCAACCAGAAGGTCCCCGTGGTGATGAAAAGCGAGGCCTTGACCTGTGTGACCTGTCTGGTTTGTGGCAGCTCTGTCTGCCAGGGAAGCCAGGCTTGTGTCACCCCTGTGTCCTTGTGGTGGGGACAGGGAGCCAGAGCTGTGTGGTGATCTGCTGAGAGCCCAGGGACAGGGACAGATATTCCCGGGCTCCTTGCAGGCTCTGGGAGGCTGGGGCAGCTGTTCCAGCTGTGGTGAGGCACCAGCCATCGCTCGGGGTGTCAGCACTCCCTAGTTAACAGCAATTAACGACGAGGAACTGGAGTTCATGTGGAAAACATGTTTGTGCATACTCACACGGAGACATAAACTGTTATTCCACGGTGGAAACACACCTCAGCAAATGTGTTAGGTGTCCCCAGTGCTCACAATAGAACACTTAATATAAATTGTGCACTGACTTAACACTGTTTGAATTTGAACTTGACATATTCTCTGATTCTGTGGCTGTGTGTCCCTAAAGCTTCATTCTTTTGTAACCCCATTGAAACTAGAGCCTTATTTAAGGAAATTTAACCACTGCCTGAATTTAAATATTTCACATGCATCTAGTAGTGGGATTTTTTTTTTTTAAGTTGTAATTTCATCATAAAAGAAAGCCTCCCTTCCCCTGTGCCTTTAGCTGAATTCTCAGCTGTCTATAGTGTAAACTTTAACTTATTTCTTCCCCTTTCTGTGGGTGATTTTACCCTGAGATGACCCTGGGTTTATGTAAAATGTGAATATATCTTGAACTGCCAACAGGTGTATTGTAATTATTTTTTTCTGTGATTGTTTCAAGAGCCCTGTGGAACGGTGGCAGTTGTGGCCAGCAGGAAGAGAAGGGTTTGGAGCTGTGTGCCCTGAGAGGGCTGTGTGGGATGAGCAGGGTGAGGAACATGCCCAGCACCTGGAGCAGGGATGGAGGCTGCTCCCTGTGCAGCTGCTCCCTGCTCAATCAAAGAGCAGAAGTTACACACAGCCGTCACTTGATTTTTTTTTTTTTTTTTTATTTTTCAGTGGCTGCCAAGAGCTACATAAGCCCCTGAACTATGTCAGAACTGGAGGGAGAACAAAGGTGCCCTGAGTTTGCCTTTCCCTCCTGCCCTGCTGCCTCCTCTGCACTCTGGAGCTTTGTGAGCCTCGAGTCTGTGGCTCCCTGCAGGGTTGTGTGGTCACATAGATGAAAACATACATGTTCCAAAAGTAAAAAAAACCCACAGTTTTCAGCTCTGTACTTCAGGAAGCAAGCCTGCTGCGTTGCCTTGGTGTAAGCCTAGACTGCAGAAACTTCTCAGAAGGAAGGATGAGTTCCTTTGGATGGCCCCACCCTCCCCTCTGAATAAAACTGGATATACTCTGGGATCCAGAGGTTGGATGGAAAACTTATGCTGTGAGTAGGCTCAAAATTGAATTAATTAGAAACTCTTACAATTTTTAGTCACTTGAAACAGGGTCAATTTCAAATCAATCTCTTTGCACGATGAAACACACATCAAAACAGGCTTTTATGGTGATACATCACAGCACTTAGCAAATTAACAAAGGCCTGAGCCAGCAGGTAACGAGGTGCTCAGCTGGGGCTGAGCTTTCTTCCAAAGGCAGGTATTATTTCTAAGTCTAATAACAACCCTTATGGAAAAAGCAACTTTTTTTTTAAACCCTCAGGAAAGGTTCAATCTGAAAAACAGTGATTGCAGGACTCAGGGAGGATTATGATAATTTATTTCAATTAATTCAATGTGAAACAGATTATAGATCACCGTGCTTCACCATCTTGTGGAAAATCTAGCATTCAAAATGTAGCATAATCAGATTTTGATTTATGCAAACTCTCTGGAACACACTACACCAGTCTTGTTTTCAGCAGTGGGAAGGCAATGTTTCCCTGAGGATGGCTTTCTAGCAAGGCTGGCACCAGCTCTGGCCGCTGGGCTGGGGCTCTGGGAGGGCAGAACTGCCCTGGGAGCAGGACAGCTCACCCAGGGGTGTGCCCTGCACAACCTGCAGTGTGGACATCATCAGTGTCCCCTTCATCCTGGCCATCATCAGTGTCCCTGCAGCCCGGCCATCATCAGTGTCCCCTGCACAACCTGCGACCACCAGAGCTGCACAGGATCAGCCCGAGGGGCTGGGCTGGGCTGGGCTGAGTTGGGTTGGGCTGAGTTGGGCTGGGCTGGGCTGGGCTGGGCTTTGTTCACACTCGCTGTTCTGAGCTCCGCGCAGGCGGCAGCTCGAGTGCTTCCAGCAGAACCTCGGGAGGCTGCGGGACACAGAGCAGGGAGGGACAGAGCAGAGAGGGACAGAGCAGAGCGGGGACAGAGCAGAGAGGGACAGAGCAGAGCGGGCACAGAGCAGTGCGGGCACAGAGCAGTG